ACCTGATATATACTCTAGAATGAATAAAATCTGCCATTATGTGACAAGTGGTGGCGGCCATTCCCTACCACAAGCGGCCGCCTTGTTGTGAGGAAGACGACCTGCCATCCCCCAACACTCCCACACTTCCGACACCACCATCCCAGCTTCGTGAATACGTGTTCAGTTCCACTTCTCTCCTACAAGCTAGCTGTGTTTGTGAATTGTGTTTTAATCCTTTAATTACCATATCTTGTGTCTGCCAAGCAATCATGACACCCAGTAGGCATACCAGTGTTGCTGACTTACTGAATGACTGACTGACTTACTGACTTGACTGACTGACTGAATGACTGAATGACAAAGTTAGACTTTTTCACTGAAGAGGACCTTGAAATGGTGTCTAGAGCAGCTGATGCCTTACTGTCAGTTGTACAATGTACTGCAGGGTAAAACAGAACAGAAATCCATTACAGAATTTACACATACTCCAGTACAACCATCGACTTCAGTACCAGAACCTTTACCATCCACCTCAACCCAGTAGGGCCACAGCATAACTCCACTCTCTTCACAATCATCAACTGACACCAGTACCTACAATTTAAGGTAAGAAATACTATTATTTCTGTTGCAGTTATAGTCTTGAGCAGTAAAAGCAACATAATACATCATGACAATGAACTACAATTATATATTCACTTTTATTTTTGTAAGATCTGGAGGTCTAAAAAAAAGTTGTTCGAAGGGGAAGCTCGCATCCTGAATTTTTTGCTCGTATCCAGAAACAAAAAATCGACCGAGCGACTGCTCATATCCTGAAAAACTCGTATGGTGGGGCACTCTTAAGCAGAGGTTCCACTGTACATCAGAGCTGATTTCCTCTATTATGTTTATTAGAATATAAACAATTAAAAATTTACCAGAAATGTTATAAATGGTGCAAAGGTGGCTTTAAAATAATATCAAAGATAGATGACAAACCCACTACCATTATAGTATGCTCCTCGCTTAGCGACAAATTCACTTACCAATGTGGTCTTAGGAACGGAACTCCGTCGTTAAGTGAGGAGAGGCTGTAATACATTCTCTTTAATACAACATCAGAGAAACTGTGTATGGTATTATTGGGGGATAACTGTAGAAAATTATTCCTTTAGTATGCCCTCACCCATAGTGTCATATGCTCTAAAAACAGTGTGTTCCATGAGAATGGGAGTGTTGCTGTTATGTATTCTACTGCACCAAAGTGAAGACAGCTTGTACACAATGTAAGGTGTTTGTACTGGGAAAAATGCTTCTCAATTGTATGCATAATGCCAGATGAACGTGTATCAACAACTTATCCATCTGACTGTCCGCCCAAAATACTGATAACATACACATTTATGGAGCACCCTCCCCATGATGTTTCATAATAATAATAGTAATCCTTGGTGGGGTACGGTCAGTTTGTTGAAAGAAGAAGAATAGTAATACTAGTAATCTTTATTTCTACAACTAAAACTGGGTGTGTTGCTATGAGCTCTGTCTCTGTCTCTCTCTTGGTTCCATCTGAAAACTTTACAAAGTTCCAAGTGTTTTAAAGTTTTTATGTCATAAGGTTTTTACTTCAAGTGAATTCTAAGGAAAAAGAATTGCAGGAAATTTAAAGTACTACACCAGTGAACACTAAAGTTATAAGAATATGTGATAATCTTATTGCTGACATGGAAAAACTTTTACTGGTGGAGTAAAGATCAAACGTGTTACAATGTGCCTTAAAGTTGAGCCATTATCCAGTCCAAGGCCCTAATTCTCTTCAATTCTATGAAGGCTACGAGAGGTGAGGAAGCTGCTGAAGATAAATTTAAAGCTAGCAGAGGCTGATTTCATCTCTCCTGACTTCTTACAATAAATACTACTTACCTCTCACCCTACATTAAAGCCAAAAATATTTGAAGGTAACGAATGAGTGTACTGTATATGCAATGTATATTGTATATGCCTAGTTCTATTGCTAACTTAACCCTTTGACTGTTTCGGTCGTATATATATGTCTTACGAGCCACCGTGTTTGACGTATACATACTACTCAAAAATTCTAGCAGCTTCAAATCAAGCAGGAGAAAGCTGGTAGGCCCACATGTGAGCGAATGGGTCTGTGTGGTCAGTGTGCACCATATAAAAAATCCTGCAGCAGACGGTGCATAATGAGGAAAAAAGCTCTGTTTTTCAATTAAAACGCCGAATTTGTGGTGTATTTTCGTATAGTACGTATTTATAGCTGTATTCTTGGTCTCATTTGATAGAATGGAAAGCATATTATAGAAACAGAGGTGATTTTGATTGGTTTTACTATAATAAAAAGAACCTTGAAATAGAGCTCAAAGTAGGGGAAATGTTTGATCTTTGCCGATGTTCAAAAGTAAACAAATGATGTCATTGTCCAATAAATGTCCAACTAGCCATTCTAATATGCAGTCATGAATGGGTTGACATTATTTATACAATTATTACAGTATTGCAATAGTCTGCATAATAGTAAATCTTCTATTTTTTGTTTGAATAAAAATTCAAAACAGACAGCAAGAGTAATATCACAGGGGCCTGGAGACGTGACTGATGTACAAAGAAAATGTTATTTTAGAGCCAGGAATGTCTGCATTGTTCATTCTGGACCCTATTCTGAAATTGGCATATTTTTTAATTTGCATGAAATTGGCCAAATTGCAAATTTCTGACCACGTTATTGGGTAGTTAAAATCGGTAAATGGGCAGTTTCTTGTACTCAATCGATAGAACAAATGGAGTTCTACAGAAATAGCTATGAGTTTGGTTGACTGGAACAATGGAGTTAGCCTGGAGGTGGCCCGGTGGCCTGGGGTGGCCCGGTGGCTAAAGCTCCCGCTTCACACACGGAGGGCCCGGGTTCGATTCCCGGCGGGTGGAACCATTTCGACACGTTTCCTTACACCTGTTGTCCTGTTCACCTAGCAGCAAATAGGCACATGGGTGTTAGTCGACTGGTGTGGGTCGCATCCTGGGGAACAAGATTAAGGACCCCAATGGAAATAAGTTAGACAGTCCTCGATGACGCACTGACTTTCTTGGGTTATCCTGGGTGGCTAACCCTCCGGGGTTAAAAATCCGAACGAAATCTTATCTTATCTTAGCTGAAAATAGGGCTAAAATTGGGCAAAATTGCCGATTCATAAATATCGCCTAGGCCGCTAACTTCGCAGGAGTGTAATTCCGCAAGTTTTCCATCAAATTTCGTTCTTTTGGTGTCATTACCATCAGGAAAAGATTCTCTATCATTTCACAAGAAAAAATAATTTTTTTTTTTTTTTTTTCAAAAATTTTTGGACACCAGGAGACACCTCAGGATTTGGGGTTGCGACAGTCAAAGGGTTAATATATGATAGTGTAAACATGTTATCAGGCATTTATATGCATTTAAAATAAAACTGATTTGTTTTACAGTAATTTTCGCTTTACAGCAGTAGCCTGGAACCTAACCTGCTGTATAAGTGGGGCCCTATTGTACAAGAGTATGAAAAGCATGTTATATCGGAAAGCTTCAAAGTAACTTTCTAATACATATATGGATGGCAAAAAAATACATATAAATATATATACTCTTCACTTTTCCCATGAAAGAAAAACTGGAACATGCAATTGTATTATGGTCTCCACACCAAAAAAAACATTTCAATAAAAATTAAAAATTTAAAGCCATGCTTCTAAATGACTCAAGCTGAGTGATGAATTACAAAGAAAATGTCTTTGTTAAATAGGAGGAAAAAGAGGAGACATAATAACATAGGATCATGATAGGACATACGAAAATAGACAAAGATGATTTCTTTGCAAACTGTACGGTAGATTATTAGATAGCATCACATTAGCGGGACCATAACTAGCATGTGCTAAAGTCAGGGAAAATTTAAAAAATTAGGACAGATTATACTGCAGACAGAACACAACATACGTATTTTATCTTATTACAATTTCCCGGATAAGTTCCACAAGTAAGCTGCGTACCCAGATAATACAGGTACAACACCAATTTTCCGGCAACAGATGGTCTGGCACCTCTTTAATCTGGACAAAATAACGAGGGCAGCCACAGATAGTTTTGTGCATAGAACACGCTCATTTACATTGCTTACACAGCAATTCTTGGTAGTGATCCCTTGAGTTGGCACAATTCCTAGCATAAGAATGTGTACCATAGCAGTAGCCTACATCTGAAAATCATGTGACTTCAACTTCTAGTCCCCCAGATGTGCCCCCTGCAACATTACAAATCCACAATGAAATAATCAACAGTCTGTAATTCCAAAAACCCTCAACTTCCAGACCTTTGAGATTAGGTTTACAGCAAAATTCTTAAATTTACAGCATTGAGAGTGGTAGTACTGCAACATTCTTTTTAAGTACAGCAATTAATAAATGTGTTTCATTTATACTAATATTTATTTAAAGTTTGTAGCAGTCCATGATACTCTCAAGACACTGGAGGTGTATAATAAATGGGTTAGAGATTTAGTGTTGAATTATTATGTGACCTCTGTTGGTCCAGTAAAATCGATATTCTAGCAAGGCTTAGAAACCAAAGGTGCCAGAAAATCAGTGTTGTACATTTAGAATAGAATAAATATGAATATAAGAGAAATGTTTATATAAATTTAAAAGTGTATACTGGGTTAATTGAATAACATCTTTCCCCCAGTTTTGCACAAGACAATATTTACATTATTGTACTGATAAAAACACGTGACATTAAAATTCAAAATCATCATAAACTTGTTGGGAAAATTAAGTGCAAAAAAAATTAATGAACATATGTATATATATATATATATATATATATATTCTGCCTTTACTAAAATGCACATACACACTTAAATATTATGTACATTACAACTGGTAACTAAAATGCACAGAACACACTTAAGTTCTATTAGGTCCTGTATTATTTACGTTAGAACTGGTAATCAGTTACTGTAAGAAATTTCTTAACTCGGTTACCTTACCATCTTTCTCCTCTGGCTTTCCTTCCATTGGCAGACTATTTAAACTGCTCGACAAACTGCGAGTTTTTGCAAGTCGTGCCAACCCCATCTTTCTGCCTCCCCCATTGTCATCTTGGCTTATTGAATCCATCCACTCTGGCTTCTTTTAATATTCTAAAAAAAAAAAAAAAAAGGTGAAAGAGCTGTGAGCCTATGTATAACATACTGAACTGTATACAATTACTTCAGAATACACTGAAAATATACTGACAAATATTTACCCACTCACTGAATAATTAAAAACTTCAGCCATTTCTTCATGAACTTTGTATTATCCATAATTATCCTGCATGCAAAATATGGAGTCTTGGGAGAAATTAATACTGTATAAATTCAATAATGCATCCCCCACATAAATTAAATACAGGTAATTAACATTTCAAACCCCTTCTCTTGTATATTATTGCTAAATTAAAAGAGAAACTTGGGTCACCCTGGCTCAGTGGGATATGACTGGTATATTGAATGAAATAAATTAGCATTTCACATACTATGTTAATGTATAACACTTAGTTCACTTATCTCACTAAAGGATGCTAATTTAATGGTTACTGTATTTGTATGCTTATGTACATAGGTTAGCCTCTTACAGAGGAATGAATTTAAACCATTGCAGTAAATTACAAATGTCATAAAAAATAGTACTGTATAGGTGTAAGAGACAAGGTGTTAGCAATACAACAAAATAATCATTGTGCAATATTATTTTATCTTATTAAATAGCAACTTTGATTAATAAATGTTCTGTGATCAGGTACGTAAGTGCGAGACATAATTTAAAATTAGAACAACAAAAATAAAATTATTCTGAGAAGAAATATGCATACTTGTTTTACTGATAAGTGAACAGGCAGCAAGTGTCTTAAGGAAACGCATCCTAATGTTTCCACCCCGAATTTACATAATATTTTGGCAATTCCATTGACGTTAGTAGGTAATTTACAGCTTTTAGACATGAGATGGGCCAGTACATATATTTTAGCTTTTTAAAGGACTCTGGAACCTAAATAAAGAAGCTTTCAGACTACCATCTAATACTCAGCATATGTTTCGCCAATTCCCAATACTCAATGCTAACAAAGTAACAACTTGCTTCAGTACTGTAAAATATAGCCTGCAAAGGTTCAAAGGTTGTCATATAGTTTGTACTCAAACAGAACAAAAGTTATAATAATAATAATAATAATAATAATAATAAAAATATCTTTATTTCTACCTGGAGTTTACCTGGAGAGAGTTCCGGGGGTCAACGCCCCCACGGCCCAGTCTGTGACCAGGCCTCCTGGTGGATCAGAGCCTGATCAACCAGGCTGTTACTGTTGGCTGCACGCAAACCAACGTACAAGCCACAGCCCGGCTGGTCAGGAACCAACTTTAGGTGCTTGTCCAGTGCCAGCTTGAAGACTGCCAGGGGTCTGTTGGTAATCCCCCTAATGTATGCTGGGAGGCAGTTGAACAGTCTCGGGCCTCTGACACTTATTGTATGGTCTCTTAACGTGCTAGTGACACCCCTGCATGTACAAGTTAGACAGGCCTAGCTGACATCAATGACAAACAGGTGTCCCGTACCTCGATTGCTAGCTCACTCGGCTCACACACTGAGGTCCGGGGTTTGAATCTCCTCGGGTATGGCTGGAAAACATTAGGAATGTGTTTCCATAAGACACCTGCTGTCCCTGTCCCCGTTCACCTATCAGTTTAAAATGGGTACCTGGGTTTTAGTCGACTGGTGACCTAATTTGCTCAAAATGCTCTGCATAACAAGCGGCTTTCTATATAGTAGTGTGTCACTGATTTCAGCTACACCTGTATACCATGTACATATAGTAAGTAGTTATATTATTACATATTATTATGTTATACCACTACGTATATAAAAAGTCGCTTGTTATACAGAGCATTTCGGGCAAATTAGGTCAGTTCTGTCCCAGGATGTGACCCACACCAGTTGACCAACACCCAGGTACCCGTTTTTACTGATAGGGAACACAGACAACTGGTGTAACAAAACACACCCAATGTTTCTACCCTCGCCAGGAATTGAACCCCAACCCTTGCTGTGTGAAGCGAGAGCTTTAGCCACCAGAGCACCATAAAACCTGACACCAAACAATTTGAGAAAAAGAGTGAATATGATCACAGCATACAAGATACTCAAGAGAGGCACACAATTTAAATAAAAAGACTAGCAAAAAAGCAAAACCAGAATGAAGAGACATAAATTGAACACCTGGATGACTTACAGACACCAGCAAACATCTCTACACCTATAAAGTAGATTAGTCAAAGATTAATTTCTAGGGATTATTCAAGATTAATTTCTAGGGATGGTGGGTGAGAATGGCAATTTTAAAAGTTATCTACAAACAGTATCAGGATATGCTACTGTTTCTTAACATGATACAGTTTATGTAATCCGAAGTTTTTTTTTTAATAAATGAAACAGATTAAAGAGGGAGATAGTGAAGAAGTCATCTTTATTGTTATTTAACTCTTTTTTTTATTATTATTATCACACTGGCCGATTCCCACCAAGGCAGGGTGGCCCGAAAAAGAAAAACTTTCACCATCATTCACTCCATCACTGTCTTGCCAGAAGGGTGCTTACACTACAGTTTTTAAACTGCAACATTAACACCCCTCCTTCAGAGTGCAGGCACTGTACTTCCCATCTCCAGGACTCAAGTCCAGCCTGCCGGTTTCCCTGAACCCCTTCATATAGGTAGTAGGTTGGTAGACAGCAACCACCCAGGGAAGTACTACCGTCCTGCCAGATGACTGTGAAACAGAAACCTGTAACTGTTTTGCATGATGGTAGGATTGCTGGTTTCTTTTTCTGTCTCATAAACACGCTAGATAACAGGGATATCTTGCTACTCCTACTAACACTTTGGTCACACTTCACAGACACGCACATGCATATATATATACATACATCTAGGTTTTTCTCCTTTTTCTAAATAGTTCTTGTTCTTCTTTATTTCTTCTATTGTCCATGGGGAAGTGGAAAAGAATCTTTCCTCCGTAAGCCATGCGTGTCGTATGAGGCGACTAAAATGCCGGGAGCAATGGGCTAGTAACCCCTTCTCCTGTAGACACTTGCTAAAAAAGAGAAGAAGAAAAACTTTATTTAACTCTTGAGAGCTGTTAATCAAATACAAGTTATATTTAGGCCAGATACATAATTTTAAAATTTTCCAATGTTTTATTTTAAACAATGTAACTTATTTCCTTTGGTGTTAATGATAACTCAACAAAACAAAGTAGAATTGGTAAAAGTAAATGACTGCACCTCAAGAGAACTTTGATTAGTAATTATAGTTTGAACTTTACAATATTAAGTTGATTTTAGAGCCGAGGTATAATTTGGTCTTGCAAATGGTGAAAAAATAACATAACCTGACAAAGCTTCCCCTAACCCAAATAACCTAATGTAATTTAACCTTACTCAACCATCAGTAGATATGTGTCTTTGTTAACATTCAGCCAGGTAAGCACTGATTAGCTCATACATTCTGTACAACCAAAATAAATGTACTATTTCCACTAATCTCTCATAAGTTTTCACAAGAAATATGTATTGTAAACTAATGCTGAGTGTCACCGTGTGTGTGGAAGTCAAATTTTAGCGAGTATGACTTATTTCCAGATATTCTCCTAAAATGTACCCCTGTAGGGAGGTTCCTTGATGTTGGTGAGGGGCTCTTGATCTAGGGAATTGGATCTGTGCTCCAGTTCTCTGACTTGAGCCTGAATACCTTCCATCCCCCTCCACATGCGCTGTATAACCCTATGGGTTTAGTGCTCCCCCATGATAATAATAATAATAATAATTCTAAAATGTAACCCACAAATTGAGTAATACTTATGTCCTGTGTATATATACTATGTGAACATGTTAAGTTTACTTAGGTACAGGTACACACAGGTAACACGTGTACAAGACCTGGTCATACGTCTTGACTCGACCCAGAATCGAACCCAGGTCCTTTCGGTTGGGCCGTGTGCTCTACCACTGAGATACATACAGTCCGTTTAAATATTAAATAATCAGCCTCAAAAACAGGTAAGATAGTAGATCTTAATAAAGAATGATCATATAAAAGGTACGATAGACCTAAATCAATTCAACCAAGCGCTAAACCAGTAAGGATCACACAAAACTGCCCAACTAATAAGAGTGTCCTCAGCAGTAATCCCAAGAACCACACTATAAAAGACATGATTGGAATAACTCACTGGCCACCCAAACTAAATGGTCATAAATGACCATACTTTTTAAAGGGGTGGACCGGTAAGCCAGCGGAAGGCCTCGGTCAGATGACCAAAAGCTCCAAAGGCAGGTCATCATCTAAGACCCGCGTCAGGAAACACTTGTGGTGGTTCCTGAGGAACCTAAAGTTAACGTAACTCACTGGCACTGCTGAAGATCACGTCAGGAGACGCACTGAGCCTCACTCTCCTCACTCGCGCTATTCATAGACTAACAATCATAACTTTCAATATTACCCACACCTTTCTTCTCTTCATGGATATCTATACACTCTCCTGGACTTTAATTAATTCATCACATAGAATATTACAGTCGACATATTATGTCAAAAAGTATCGATTATTAATTTTATATTTTAAGCCATAACAAACAGACCTGCCATCTGTAGGTTAGAATTTGTATTTCATTTAGCGGTGACTTTGAAAATTAATAGAGGCATTATATTTTGGTACTGTTCATTATTGAAATTTAATTCATATCACCATCATGTTTATTTGTAAATTAATTATTAATCTACTCACAAAATTCTCACAGACAAAAATGTCTGCATAATATATGCCCATAACATTTAATGCACTTTTTTTTTGCATCTATTCCTGTCCTACATTTCATTTGTCTTTCGTGTTTTCTGCCGAGGTGGGTTCTGTCCTATGAGGTTTTGTCACGCTGGAATTTGGCCTTACTCTAGTGAAGTGTTACTTACCCTGCAGTGCTCCTCTCTTGTCTCTTGTTTTACACTTCCTCCACTATTACTGCTACTACTGTATACTACTGTCTATTAGCTACGTCTCTACCCTTCCCTCCCCTCTTTTTCACTACCACTTCTACCTTCTTATTTCCAACTATCACTGTTACACTACTTTTTCTACTACTACTACTATTACTACTACTACTACTACTACTACTACTACTACTACTATTGCTACTACTGCTACTACTACTACTACTACTATTGCTGCTGCTACTACTACTACTACTACTACTATCATTATATACAATTCCTTCCTCTCGTATATATTCTTGCACCCCTCCCTTCTCACTTCCTCCCGTAGGGGCCATGCATGCCTGGACACAGGGAAACATTCAGGTTTGATTAAAGGAATGGGAGGACAAATCTAGCTCCTTGGATCAAAACCTCCCTCACCGGTATCAGGGGACCTCTATTAATGGGATATGACAGGAGAACGTACCTCGCTTTTGCTCCCACCAACAGACCCCTGGCTGTCTTCAAGAAGGCACAGGACAGGCACCTAAAGTCAGTACCTGACCAGCCGGGCTGTGGTTCGTACGTTGGGTTGCGTGCGGCCAACAGTAACAGCCTGGTTGATCAGGCCCTGATCCACCATTAGGCTTGGTCACAGACCGGGCCGCGGGGGCGTTGACCCCTAAAACCCTCTCCAGGTATAGGTGTAAAGTACGGCTAGTCCCCCCCCCTCCCATAATTACCTGTTCTCCCTAATGCAACACATCCTGTAACTCAGAGATAATCCTGCTGAGATCAGGGTCTTACACAGATCTCCACGCGCATGTATCACTAACTGGTTTAGTTATTTTCCAATACTAAAACAGCGTAAGCTACAATTTCACTGTGGAAACAAAACTCTGTATTACCAACTAACGCACACTCAAACATAAAATTCTGCGTGTGTAAGGTAAATAACTAAAACATAATATGAGACACTCATGGAAAATAATTATATTATTTGCTCTGGATTAATGGAGTCACTGTATCCATGGCATCATCGTGGCTGTAATGATCTATGATAGTATAAAGTTACAGCAAAAAAAAAAATGGCTTTTCTACCATATTTATCAAGCAGGATGAATTTTATTATATTTCCATCACACAAGATGAGTTCCCATCACTGTAATGAAATTTGTTAGAGCGATGACGATATTGTCAAATATTCCACTATGTGGGTCAGTAGCTAATGAACATTAATATGTCCACAAAAAGAGTTAGACCATTGTGGATCAGATTTTTTAGACACCCTCGCAGACTGCCACTGTGGCAGCCTGCGAGGTGTAGTCTCGTTCATATATCCCTTCATGTTAACCTTTTATTTTTATACTTCCTTGATAATGTGAGAAGTCACGAAAGCACTTGGAATATATATATATATATATATATATATATATATATATATATATATATATATATATATATATATATATATATATATATATACTTCAAGACTTCCAACTTATCGTCACAGGAAATAGTCTTTATTTAAATGTATGTCTTTAAATACTACTGATAAGTCGTTAGTTTTCAATAAAACAAACTTCCGACGTGGCGTGTGTGGAGAGTTAACAAGAGCTGGTTCTTAGACGTTCTCTTTTATACTTTGTCATGTTTGAGTAAGTAACTACATTTCAAACAGAAGGCAGTACAAATCGGCAGGGTCCAGGAGCTGTAAATCAACCCTTGTAACCATATATAGGTGAGTACATATATACACCAGCGAAGAGGCGGGGCCAGGAGCTGTGAATCGACCCATGTAACCACATATAGGTGAGTAAATATAAGTGCACTCACATTTGCGATCGAAACATCAAGACATTTACCGGTATTTATGGACCTGATAAGTACGACTCATGTGCAACACTAACAATCTTTATTGACGTAAGGTTTCGCCTGCGCTAGAAGCTTCATCAGTCGAATATTAAGATGAATCACGTTCCGGAAGACAGCCATGTTGGAAGACGAAATAGATCATCAGCCTAATCGTGCACTTAGGATGATGAGTTGATTACATTAATTTACCTCTCCATTTCGTCTACTTCGTCTTCCACTAAGGCTGATGTCTTCATGAGCGTGATTCATCTCCGCAATCGACTGATAAAGTCTGCAGCGAGGGCGAAACCTTTCGCCAATAAAATTCCTAGCCTTACATATTTATCTTACTGATCAATATGTGGCCAATATATACCATTCGCAATGTAATATGGACCTACATGCACTTAAATAAAATTAACAGATATCGTACAGAAAGAGGAGATGGTGGCATCTAAGAGTGATAATTAATATGTATAGCTATATTTCAAGTATGGCTGACAATGTAACTTTCACAAAGAGAGAGTGAAAGTGGTGAGTGCAAGTGATTACAGAACTCGCATTTAATACAGTACAAACACCGCATTTAATATACACTCTTGTTTATATAAATTAACATATTTACATGGAGACTGGAGAAATATACAGAGAATGAACAAAGCTCTAGAGAGAGGGAAATTCTTGTTCTCAAGAGAGAGAGAGACAGGAACTACGATATGAAAAGGTGAAGGACGTGGATACATTACTTGTGCAGCACAGCACACACACACACCAGGGGCCAGGAGCCAGGAGTTATGACTCGACCCCTGCAACCACAACTAGGTGAGTACACACACACTACGGCTAGTACACACACACTACGCATATTCCAGTTTACACTACTCACACTCCCGACCAACAGTCTGTTATATGCATGTGTATTGTACATGTATGTATGTTTGTATGTTTTGTATATATAATAATATATTATATATATATATATATATATATATATATATATATATATATATATATTATATCAACAAACCGGCCCCGTATCCCACCGAGGCAGGGTGGCCCAAAAAGAAAAACGAAAGTTTCTCTTTTTAAATTTGGTAATTTATACAGGAGAAGGGTTTACTAGCGCCTTGCTCCCGGCATTTTAGTTGAAACTTACAACACCCATGGCTTACGGAGGAAGAATTCTGTTCCACTTCCCCATGGAGATAAGTGGAAATAAACAAGAACAAGAACTAGTAAGAAAAATAGAAGAAAACCCAGAAGGGTCTGTAT